TTTAGCTTCATAGGTTCAACAATTTTATATGTGTAATTTGTCTGTAAAAATTATTTTTGTCTCAAAGTTTTTGAAGATATAAAATATTTGTGTCTAAATATTTTTTCATTGAGTTTCTTAATGCCTGTATTTTTTTAAAATTATTATTTAATGATTTTTTAAAGATTATCATTTAATAATTTTTTTAGATTATCATTTAATGTTTTTCTAGATTATCATTTAATGATTTTTTTTAGATTATCATTTAATGATTTTTTTAGATTATCATTTAATGATTTTTTTTAGATCTTGGTTGTTGGACCCACAGATGTGGGGAAGTCCACCCTTTGTAGAATATTGGTCAATTATGCTGTGAGGCTTGGCAGGTCACCAGTCTTTGCTGACATTGATGTTGGCCAGGTATATGTTTAGAAAATATAATTAAGATGTTGTTTGGAAAAACTATTTTTTTATTCTCTTGTCTTTTCCCTGCCATTTTAATTTAAATGAATTTATACACATTAATATTTCTGACACTTTTGAATTGCTCTTATTATTTTTAGTACCGGTATTTAAATGAGTTACATAAAAATATTGAATAAATTCGTATATTTATTGAAGTCTTCTTTTTATAAGTGTAAAAATTTGATGCCTTTTGAATTGAACATTTAAAATTTACTGATGGCAAACAAACTATTTTTCAGGGCAACATGGGATTACCTGGAACAATTGGTGAGTTAATAGAAAAAAATGTCAAGGGCTATGTTTAAGGGCCATTTAGAGTAAAGCAAAACTGAGTGCAACAAATGAGCTGTGTTATTTCAGTTTGATCCATTATTTCAGGAGCTCTTGTAGTGGAGAGAACAGCTGATGTCGAGGAGGGTTTCCAGCAGACAGCTCCACTGGTCTTCCATTATGGTCACAAAAGTGCCAATGACAATTTCCAGCTGTACAACATGTTAGTGTCCAGACTGGCAGAGATCATTAACGTTAGATGTGAACAGAGTAAAAAAGGTAAGGCCACTGTGACAGAGTTTCTAGAAAAATTTTTATATGTTCCATTGGAAAATTTTTTATATGTTCCATTGCCCATCCTTTCAAATACATTTTTCTAGTGCTGACATTCTTTGTAGTACATTTTGTTTACATAACCGTAGTTCTTTGATATGTTTGAATTATGATATTTTTGTCAAAATTATTTTTTGAATATTTTCAGTCACCTTAATGTTTGCAATGAGGATATTTTCAGTCAACTGTATTTATGCTTGAATGAAATTTTCAGTCAACTGTATTTATGCTTGAATGAAATTTTCAGTCAACTGTATTTATGCTTGAATGAAATTTTCAGTCAACTGTATTTATGCTTGAATGATATTTTCAGTCAACTGTTTTTATGCTTGAATGAAATTTTCAGTCAACTGTATTTATGCTTGAATGAAATTTTAAGTCAACTGTATTTATGCTTGAATGAAATTTTCAGTCAACTGTATTTATGCTTGAATGAAATTTTCAGTCAACTGTATTTATGCTTGAATGAAATTTTCAGTCAACTGTATTTATGCTTGAATGAAAAGTCAACTGTATTTATGCTTGAATGAAATTTTCAGTCAACTGTATTTATGCTTGAATGAAATTTTCAGTCAACTGTATTTATGCTTGAATGAAATTTTCAGTCAACTGTATTTATGCTTGAATGAAATTTTCAGTCAACTGTATTTATGCTTGAATGATATTTTCAGTCAACTGTATTTATGCTTGAATGAAATTTTCAGTCAACTGTATTTATGCTTGAATGAAATTTTCAGTCAACTGTATTTATGCTTGAATGAAATTTTCAGTCAACTGTATTTATGCTTGAATGATATTTTCAGTCAACTGTATTTATGCTTGAAAGATATATTCTGTCACCTTTATGTTTGAAAGATATTTTCAGTCAATTGTATTGTGTTTGAATGATGGTATTTTCAATAAAATTTATGTTTGAATGATGAATATTCCAGTCAACTGCAGTGGTGTCATCATCAACACAGCCGGCTGGATACGAGGTGCTGGCTATGAAGCCTTAAAACAAGCTGCGGGCGCTTTCGAGGGTATGTCCAGTAAAACAAATGTTAGGGTATTTTTGAATCAGAGAGGATAGTTGATGATACCATTCCCCAAGAAAAGTATCCGACACAGGCTAAGCCGACCGCAGGGAGAGTACCAAATATGTACTGCCATGAATCATAGTCGGAAAGATTATGTTGCTGCTGTCTAAACATGCCCACTGCCTAGACATGCACACTATCTATGTGGCCACTGCCAAGACGTACACTCTGCCTAGACATGCCCTCTGACATGACATGACCACTGCCTAGACATGCCCACTTCCTATACTTTCCCACTGCCTAGACACGCCCACTGCGTAGACTTGCTCTTTGCCTAGACATGCACACTTCCTAGGCATGCCCACTTCTAGACATGCCCACAGCCTAGACTAGACATGCCCACTGCCTAGACATGCTTATTGCCTAGACATGCCCACTACCTAGACATGGGAATATAGAGTCTATGATGAAGAGACTGCACACACACCTTCCACTATTAAAGTATAACTGGCTTGTAGTTCTATCTGAAGGACGGACTTAGAAGGACACAGTGCAAAAGTTAACTTAAATGGTGAATTTTTTTACCAAAATGCACAAAAACCTGTAAAGCATGCTGACCATGACAGAGACAAAACAGATACACTCACTGCTGGCATTGAAAGCATTATGCAATTTGAAAAAAAAAAACAGTTGTAAAATAAGCTAGAAGCCTGACTAATGAAAACATTTAAATTTTTTAAAATAGTACAGTCCCTTATATTGTACAGTCCCTTATATTGTACAGTCCCTTATATTGTACAGTCCCATTTATTGAACAGTAAAATTTATTGTAGTCCCTTATATTGTACAGTTCCTTTTATTGAACAGTCAAATTTATTGTAGTTCCTTATGTTGTAAATTCTCTTATTATTGTACAGTCCATTATATTGTACAGTCCCTTATGTTGTACATTCCCTTATGAACACTATGCAAATCCTTTAGTTATTAGTTCTTGTTTCTGTTCTCAGTGGATGTAATTTGTGTCTTGGATCAGGAGAGACTTTACAACCAGCTCAAGGGTGACCTGCCTGATTTTGTCAAAATTGTTTTATTACCAAAATCAGGAGGGGTAAGATTTTAATAAAATCCTCCATATCAATTCAATCTAATCCTTCCATTATATTAATTCAATCTAATCCTACCATTCCTTTATTGGTTCAGTCTTATTCTTCCATATCAGTTCAATTTAATCCTCCCATATCAGCCTTAATGGCATTTTTCTCGTAGAAAAGTAATAATGTAGTCTTTAATTTTTCTCTTTATTTCACTTTATTTTAGTACATTCCCTTTTGTACAATATCAACTTTGTTGAAATTGAAAAAAACCCAACATTTCATACATATTTAAAAGATATTTCTTAATCCTTTCATTAATTATTGTAATGTTTGTGTTCAATTTGATCTGAAACCTATGCCTCCATTTCAATGCTTGTGTTTACTTAGGTTGTTGAGAGGTCACAGGCCACAAGAGCTGAATCAAGAGATGGGCGCATCAGGGAATATTTCTATGGCTTAAAAAACAACTTCTTTCCACACGGCTTCGACGTCAAGTTTAATGATATCAAACTATTTAAAGTAGGGGGTAAGTTTTGGATGGATTTTTTACAAAGGAAAAATGTAAACAAATTTACGGCCAAGTGAAATTAAAAGTTTTCTGTTACTTTATTTTAAAACTAACGTGTGCTCCTTTCAGCTCCGTCCTTGCCTGAATCTTGCTTGCCATTGGGGATGAAAGCACAGGATAGCCAGACCAAGCTTGTTCCCTTGTTACCCAGTAAGTGCTCCACAGAAATATTACATTTGTAATATTTACATCCTTTGATTCATACTTTTACTATTACCGTCATTTTTCAAATGAGACGTATCAATCAATTTCTTAATTGGCGTTTTGAAAATCTTTTGTTGAACTTAACCGATGAAATGAAACTAATTGCATAGAGTTGGTCTAGCAAAGCTCTTGAGAAACACTTAGATTCCTCTGTAACACAAGTGTATTACAAAGTGAACAACTTTGGGTTACAAAGAAATAACTTTGCAAATGAATGAGCTCTAAAGATGCCCAACAGTTGGTTTTGTTATGAAGGTCGCCCTGGCAACACAACTTAAAAAATAATTGAGGTCAATGCATGGTATTTCTTCTTATCCATCATCAAATGTAACCAATCTCTGTGTATATTCTATCAGGCCACAATCTACTTCATCACATACTTAGTGTCAGCGCTGCAACAACAGTAGATCAGGATATTGTGGAGACCAATGTCTTAGGGTTTATTGTCGTGTAAGTGCAAGTCTTTAGAAGCTATTTATTTCACATCATAATATCCAAATGGTAAGAGATCTCTGAACTTCTGATAAGCTGGGAGAAAATAAAATGTTATCTCTTAATCTCCAATTGAACTTTTTTTCTTTCTTAATAAAGAAATTGTATTTCTTCTAGTGTTGAAATGAAAAGAAAGTGCTGGGTTAATTCTATGAATAAATTTTAATTACATTAATGATGAGCTTTGTTTCATTTAAAATTATGAATTTATCATTTTCAGGACTGGTGTTGACATGGACAAAAGTTTATTCACTGTTCTTTCACCATCACCCCGGCCGCTGCCAAGAAATATTTTACTTGTAATGGATATTCAATTCATGGACATTAAATGATCTCTTTTTTTTTTATTTTTAAATTTTAACCAAACTTCTGACAATTTTGTTATTTTTACGAAAGGAGACAAAACTTATTTTGAAGTGCATTTTATGGTTAAGATAAATTTACACCAAATCTTTTATCACTAAAATATCATGAAGAGATAAAGCCAGCAAGAAATTTTGCATCTATTGTCATCATTCTGATAAGTTGTAAAAGTTTAGAGAAGAGCAGCAGCTGTGTTGCATTGGATCGACTACAATTATAGGATTAAATAGGATTAAAGGATTGTGTGGATATTTTACATAACAGTTTGATGGGATTGCTCTGAATATAATATTGGAAGTTTCATGTCATAGATCTATTACGTGTTTCCTAAGATTTAAAGTGTTGAAAACAAAGACAGCCGGAGTAGTAAGCTCATCTTTAACAACATTACCCTGTAACAAACACTAAAACCGTTGAGTACAATTGGAAAACAACTTTTAATCCTTTTTTTCTTACAAAATAATGTGCACAAAACAGTGAGAATCCAAATTGACCAACAACCAACACTGTCAGGGAATAGGCTTACAGAGCAGCTCATGGGACAACAAGACAGTGTTCCAACAAAAAGAGGTAGTTAGTTGAAACAAAGTGACCAAGTACAAGAAGGATCTCAATCAGAACCGGTGGTCATCCTTCTCCACTTAAATGTCACCTTGAACTTCTGACCAACAAATACCTTGATGTAAAATAACCAAAACATTTGCATTGCAGCTTACACATTAACAGTCCCCGATTAAAATCAATAGCTTTGTGGTCAAATAGACTGATTAAATCTAAATGGCAAACATTACATTCAACTGCCTTATTTATAGCAGGATGGATTCTGGCCTTATTTACACAAATGACTTTATAGTGTCAAAGGACTGGTGTACCAGACATTGGTAGGAATAATTCAACAGTAATGAATAAAAACCTGGCAAAATTAAGTTGTTACCTCAATAGAATGAACAGTTTATTCTATTTTGCTACATAAGATAACATTTTTTTTGAGACTCCATTTAGTTATTTTGTAAAATATTCCATACGTTTAAAAAAAACAACTTATAAGGTATTGAAGAAAGTCTAAATTAAATCATAACATGTGAAAAACTATGCTTGTACTGTACAAGAAAGTTGATACAAATCAAAATCTTGCTCTAACAATTCTTCAATTTGACACTTATTTCTGTACATGATCAAAAATGACCAAAAAAATCAAGTGTGAAAAGAAAACGAGGTTCTCGAACAAACCAAAAATACTTATTCCTCACAACTTCTATGAAGGTAAGGTAATAAAAATATTGAGGGATTCTGTTAAAACGTTATCATTAACATAGGTGTTTATAGAAACTTATGTAGTATGTCTGGTCAGACCAAGTAGCAGTCATCTAGCCAAATAACTAGATGATATTAAGAAAAATTGTCTTCTTTTATGAAAACAAAAATATTTGTAAATGTTTTAAAATAATCACAAAATACAGATTAAAGGAAGAAAATGTTTTCATGTGAATGCACCAAAAACAGCAACAGAAAAACTTAATTGTCCATGACCTTTCATATTTCCATATACAAATCTTATAACCTATACTTATCTAACATTAACTTAAAGTAAATCAGATGTTGAATAATATTCTTAAAATAACAACACAATTTGGTATGGTTGAAGTTGAACAACTCTTATAAATTGCCACTTTCCTCTGAGTGACATCCATCAATCCACTTGCCTGACATTTTCAATAACACACTGCATTACTTGAATGTTAAGTTGCAGCATTATGTTAGCTAGAAATTCTAAAGAGAGAATATTACTGCTCTGTGATGTTTTACGAATCGGGATCACAGAAATAACTGCGGACAAATAATGCCAAATATTAACAACAGTTGATAGCTAAATATGAAAGCATGGCCAGACCCTTACCACAGTACTGTTCAAGTATAGGGTCAACGAAGAAGTTGGACGTGACCAAATCTTAGTTGCTCTCTCATCACATTTCTTGACCCAACACAAAAATACAGTCTCTAGTCAGTAAACTATGGTCATTTAGAGTTGAAACATTTGGGTATTATCCTTTTGAACATCATTTGAACTGTTGAAATTGGTCCACACATGGAGATTTTACTGCCAATGTTAAAATCTGCAGAGCAAAGCTGCTGTAAAGCCTTTAAGCAATACAAGTTACCATTTCCAAAAATGTTAATTAACAGTTGGAAGAGGAAAAAGTCACAATGGAGATTTTGTTTCCCAATTGTTCAGACTAAAAAAAAAAGAAAAAAAAAAAGACCCAGATTTTCCACTGCTGGTTGATGATGGTACTGCTGGTTGATGATGGTTTTGGTGAGAGCAACTGGTTATTAACATACACAAAAAATACATGGAGCGCAATGGAAAAGTTCTCAAAATGGTTTTAAAGAGAAAGTTCACCAAGTAGTCATCAAATAAAATCTTATAATAAATTATCTGTTTAAAAACTGCCAGCTTATATGCATCATCTGTGTTGTAAAAGTCTATCTATAGCAGCATTGACATCACCAAATGTTGCAGTCAGAGCTGAAATGAGAGAGCAAAAAAATTATTGAAAGGGTTACTAAGCAAAAGTTTTCGTATTGCATATTTCATAACCAAATTTGATCCCCTGACAATGCTAATTGTAAGTCAGTGATCTTTAGGATGTCCAGGAACATTCCTGTAAATGAACAAACAATCCTATATAATTTAACATTGAGTTCAATCTACCTCTGATGTTTGCCTCCCTATCAACAAAGCCCATGGTTGCTAATTGCTCTAGTTCAGATGCAAATCTCTGTTCGGGAGGTTGGTTCTGAGGAAAAAATCACAAAGGGAAGCAGTTATAAAAACAGGGGTCCATGGATTTAAAATGTATGCAATATACAGTGAATTATAATTTACAATAATAATGCTATTAGATGATTCTTAACTTTTATTTAAAACAAAAAGATTTTAACTTTAACAGAAAAATTACAATTCAAGTCAGCCACCCATAAACAGGTAACTGGTTGGCAATGACAGCAAGTCTGCCCCATAAAGAAGTAACAGGTTGGCAATGACAGCAAGTCTGACCCATAAAGAAGTAACAGGTTGGAAATGACAGCAAGTCTGACCCATAAAGAAGTAACAGGTTGGAAATGACAGCAAGTCTGACCCATAAAGAAGTAACAGGTTGGCAATGATAGCAAGTCTGCCACATAAAGACAACAGGTTGGCAATAATGACAGCAAGTCTGACCCATAAAGACGTAACAGGTTGGAATTGGTCATGGGTCATTCCCAGCTATGATCAAATACTCAGTTGTAAATTACTCATTAGCCCAGAAAGGCAGCCATTTATTTTAACAAAAGATAAGATTTAAGTAAGAAAATCAAACTACCATTGAGTACCTTCCGACAACTTAATGTGAGACTACTACAAAACTTGTCTGTTCCCTCTAGATCAATATCTAACTACCACTTTGTTAACTTGATGTACAATTCATAATCACGTCTATTCACACTAAATCAATTTTTAACTACCAACTAACACCTTGTGAATTTGATGCAGGATTAAAAAAAAAAAAACATCAGTTGACCCTAGACCAACTCAATAAAACAATGAAAAAGCCACTGACTTGTTGTCCTCCGACCATCATCTGCATCATTTGAGCCATCATGGAAGAAAAAGCTTCAGGATTGCTCTGTTGGCCCAAACCCAGGGGACCTCCAGCCGACGTAATGCCAGGGATTGGGGCCGTTGTAGCGGCGGTCCCGGTTGGTGACGGTGTGGACGTCACTGAAGATGTGGTTGCGGGGGCGCCAGTCAAAACCGGTGGCAAGGGACCTAAACCTGTCACACTTAATTTTGTGTGCAAAATGTAAAAAATGATTTACAGGGCAAAAAGGTAAATAAAAATAATGGAGGGATAAACAAAGTATCCAAATAAACTGTTGAGCTATTCCAATTTTAAATAACTGAACCTGTTGTGTCAGCATTTTTGGACGGAAATAAGTGAAACAAAATATGGGAAACCTGAAAATAGGACGCAAAAAAACAATGAACATGTCAGTACGAAGCCTTCTTCATCGAACAAACAGAAAATAAAATTGTAAACCTCGCCCTTTTGTCATCCAGGCTCAACACATTCCCTTCCCCAGCAGTTTTCAGATAAAGGATTGTTTCCTTTGCACTAGCCGCAATGTTATCCTTGCCTTTGTACCTGCTGCCATATGGCATATCTGGAGGGAGGCAGGATGGTGCCCCTCTGACAAATGTACTGAACAGCATATTATTGGGAATGATAAACAGCGCCCTATCCTCCAACACTGAATAGAAGCGACCACAAGGGGGCTTTAGCCATCACCGCCAGTGTTTCATGTATCAACACCTGTGTGTACTGAGAGAACTAACCGATTCAGACTTACGTGACCTTGACACACAAATTTTTTCTCCGCCTCTCCTTGTTACAACCAATTGCTGTGGACTTACTTTACTTCTCTTCCCCCACCCCTTTAACTCTCTTACCGACTAATGGTCTATAACATTCCCCTTACCAACTAATGGTCTATAACATTCCCCTTAATAACTAACGGTCTATAACATTCCCCTTACCAACTAATGGTCTATAACATTCCTCTTGCTGTCGTCTGAGATATTACATTGCAGCTAAGTGTCTCAGATAGTACATTGTAGCCAAGTGTCTCAGATAGTACATTGTAGCCAAGTGTCTCAGATATTACATTGCAGATAGGTGTCTAGTAGTTTAATTTTTATATGGTTTTTACTGCTTATTGTGGAAGAAAGCTTCTTGCCGACACGTCTGTTGTTTTGTTGTGTCATTTTACCCATACTTAGTATCACTCATTTTCTTCTACCTAACCTGATTGCAGTCTCTACCCTTTATAAGAACTTTGGGAAATGTTTTTATCAATGAAATTCTGTTAACCCAATATGTACATGTATAGTAGATTAATACTGTGACCCCCATATTTACATGTACAGTAGACAAATAATGTGACCCGCATATGTACATGTATAGCAGATAAATACTTAAACTATGCCATACTTTGAAAAAAGATTTGGAGACTCTTGCTGTAACTGGCTGAGACCATTCTGTATCTGCATGAGAGCCTCTAGTGCTCTAGGATTTGTCACCATGTTTTGTATTTCCGGGTTCTGCATCTGATGGATAACAAATTCAAGGAATTATGTTAAAAACCACTTACAATGGCCTGTTACTGTCAAATACAAGTCAAACAAGAACTTAAACACCAAGACGACCCACATAATATCCAAAGAAAATGGCTTTAAATATATTTTTACACATCTTTTACTTTTAAAATATTTACATTAATTCATTTAAATTTGCTAAAACATAAGAAGATTGAGAGTAAATTTCTTCACCCACCATCGGCATAAGTAAGACAATTAATTCAGTTATATCAAAATCAGTAATAGATAAGATAAAAAACAAACCCTGACCTGTTGTAGTAGATTTGGCATCATGGTGGTCAGATTAGCTTGCATTTGTGGGTTGTTGGCAAACAGAGGATTATTGCCAATTATCTGATTTACAAACAATAAATGTATGTAGTAGGTAAATAAAATATATTTTTACAAATAAATAAGTTTATTTTAATTGAAATCAAATCCTTAAATGACCAAATGGCAAAACATTTTGAAATATTTAAGTAGAAAAGATGTTTGTGCTTAAAAAGCAATGCTGTCCAAGGCCAATCAGGCGATGTGTATAGTGATATCTTAGAATAGAGTGAAACCACTGTGTGAGAGAGTAAAGCCATAGTGGGAGAGTAAAACAACTGGAGTGGAACCACTCTGTGAGAGAGTAGAGCCATAGTGGGAGAGTAGAACAACTGGAGTGGAACCACTGCATGAGAGAGTAAAGCCATTGTGGGAGAGTAGAACAAATGGCGTGGAACCACTGTGTGAGAGAGTAAAGCCATTGTTGGAGAGTAGAACGACTGGAGTGGAACCACTGTGTGAGAGAGTAAAGCCACTGTGGGAGAGTAGAACAACTGGAGTTGAGCCACTGAGAGAGTAGAAAAACTATGATATAGTGGAACCAATAAGTGAGAGAATGGAACCACTGCTTGAATGTAGAAAAACTGTGTGAGAGAGTAGAACCACTATGTGAGAGAGTGGAATTACTGTGTGAGAGAGTGGAATGACTGTGTGAGAGAGTGGAATGACTGTGTGAGAGAGTGGAACCAATGTATAGGTAGGAAATTAAAACCATAGTGTGAGAGTGGAACCACTGTATGTCAATAAAAGAATATTTCCAGGACAAATATGCGCTACCAGCCAAGAATATTTCCTGGACAAATTAAGCGCCCCCTGCCAACAATGACATATTTCCCAATGATTACCTGTTGAGCAAGTTCAGGATTTGCAGAGAGAGACTGCATCATAGACTGCATATAAGGAGCCTGAAGCATGTTGCTGATCATCTGAGGATTCTGCATCATCTGCTGCATCAAACTCTGCATGCCTGGCGTATTGAACATGCCTACAAATGCAATAAATCTCAATCATGCAAAATGCAAATGATCTGAACAGCCTTTCAGACTTACCTATTTGTCCAACTATTGGGATTACGTAACTCATTACATAACTATGTACATAACCCAATCCATAATCTTGAACAAAGGGAAGTAAATACGATTTCCAAATGAACTCAATATTTAAATAAATATAAATTATTAAAGCTGCTAAATATTAATTAATTTTAACAAATATAAGACGAAGGCATCAAGAAATCGATAAGTTTCAGAAAAATATATCTTTAAAAGCCAAAAATGAAACCAAACAAAGACAACAAAAAAGAAGTATTTTCGGCACCTGGTAGATGAGTGTGTGTAGGGGGGTGGGTGTGTTTGCTTGAATTTGTAGGTACTTTAACAATGAGAGGTGTGCCAAACACACGTTTATTTGCAACAGGATGAAATAATCATTCTGGCAAAAGGATGAAATAATCATTCTGGCAACAGGATGAAATAATCATTCTGAATCTCAGATCAGAAATTTCCATGACATCAACTATAAATATGAATATTTCCACATTAAGTTCTCAAGAGGTTTGTTGACTATGTAGCTCACAGCATTGGATGTTTGACAAACCTGTTGCAACTGCAGGGTCTGCTGCTGGAGTAGTTGTGTTGCTTCCAGGTGTTCTGGTGGCTGACGAGCCCCCCCATGGATTGGGGAGGGGATCTCTGTTCTCTCTGCCTTGTTGAGTATTCTCACCAACTATACAATACACAAATAAATAAAAAATAAGGACTATATTCAATTAACCTATTTTTTGTGTGAAAAATCCAAACACAGTCTATCAGTTATTACATCCTATAAGTTCACATCCTATCAATTATTACATTAATTTTAAAACTTTATTTGAACAGCAATCTTTCATTCAATAACATCTACATTTTTTTTTATAACAACCAACACATTTGAAACTAACAATGATATAATAAAAAAAATTTAAAAATCGACATTGAGAAGAACTTTCTTCTTTGGGTACATTGTCTTTAGAATTTATTTTCTTTGATATCAGATAAGGATGGACTAAGACATTTTTTTCTGAGTGCTCCATTTTCAGGGAAATGTTAAAGAAACAGTTACTGTTGGTCTTGCGATGGTTAATACTTTTTTGTTGCAGATCCAAAATCTTACCAATTTTCCTAAACAGGACTTATGCAAAAAACACTGGGCCCTCTTTTTAGAATTATTTTTCATATTGCCAACAAATGTCACAACAACCAGAGCGACTATATTTCTTTATTGACTGTGCAACATGACATTGAGTTGATTGACAAACATAATACAAACCACACCTATTATAGCCATAAGCAGTTCAGTCATTAAAAAATTACATCAGCATTCAATATTGAATTCTTCATGAAGATAGTTTACCTGAACCATTGCTCACAAGGGAAGCAAATGGATTTGATCCTATGGTTTCTTGAGCAGCACTCATCATCGGCTCCTGGATATCACGATACATACGTTGCAGAGCATTAAAGCCACCGGGAATGCTCTGTAAAACAAAATAACACTTTATCAAATATATTTCCATGGATTAAACAAATAAAGCTAAAAAAAGAAAGAAAGAGAGAATCTTAATGAATGTAGCTTTAAAGAAACGTCTCCGCCTTCTGCTGTGACATCAATTCAATTAATAACACGCAACATGATGTTTGAGGCACACCAATATCTGTTCAATTACCTCGAGATTACTCATGGCCCTGTCTTGTGACCTCATCAGCTCTTGCATCATAGCAGGATTTCTTGCAAGCTCCATGGTTTGACGCATTAGTTCTGGATTATTCAACATATGGGTAATTTCTGGGTTTCTCTAGGGAAGAAAATATATTTGGATATAAGTCGTTCATTTCATAAAGACCTGTGTATTAAGGTTTGTCAGGATGACTTTTTGTTTTAAATATCAATATCCAATGAAATGAACCATAAAAATCAAATTGTTGAGAACAATAGCTTCAATTTCAAAGTTAAAAGATGTCATTCGGCATCAAATAAATGTTTTGATGAAAAATATTTTCAGTACATTTAAGTAGACTTTAGTGACCTTGAACTCCCCCCCCCCCCCATTTACTTTATATCATTGATGAAAAGAGTTGAAATACATCTGTATTTATGAGCAGGAATAAAATGACATTCAGATTCATATTTTCAATCATTCATTAGAAACCTTATCATTTCTTGTAAATGCTCTAATTTGTTAAAATTCTGTTTGAAAGATTGGGAAATTTCTGTCAAACTAGAAGGGAAAGAACCAACCTCCATGAGTTCTCTCATTTGCGGGTTGTTCATTAGTAGTGTTCGCATTATTTCTGGGTTGGACATCATTGACTGTACAAAAGGGTTATCCATTAGCTGTCTCAACATATCTGGGTTGCTTAACATCTAAAGATATAAATATAAAAATATAATATATTAATCTTAAAATTCATTGATTAAATTTGCTGGGTTGACTTGAAACAAAAAAACGACAAAAAAACAAAATGAAAACAAAGTGCACACAGGTATTACAGATGTGTAATATACCAACAACCCAGGCCTTCAAAACTGCACTCAAAACACATCTCTTTAAACTCTACTACCCCCCACTGATTCCCCCTCTGACCCATAAACGATGCTGCTGTCCATGGCATGACATTTAAAAGTTCTGGGGTTTGTGGGGTGTACATACTTTTGTTTTGTTGTTATACAGCTGTTCTTTATTACATAAATGTATTTTATTTTAATGTCATGATTATGTCTATTTTGATAATATTTTTATGTACAGCGCAGTGAGCCCAGCCTACGCGCTATATAAGACTACTGCTAATAATAATCACAAATATGTAACAAAGCAAGACTTTATCATGCTTAAAAAGTTCTGACAGACTGCTTCATCCTGATTTTAGAATGGTAGAAGACTGTTCAGATACTTCAGAAAACCTCAGAAACCTTTGCATCTTTAAGATTTGCGTAATTTACAGGAGGTGGGGCGGGGTTGTTTAAAAATACATATAAGCCAATCAGGACACATTTTTCAGGAACAGTTCTATTTCAAGATTCGCATATTCCATGTACCAATAAGAACAGAAATTTTGTTCACCTCTCTTTGCATTCGCTGCTGCATCTCCATGAAATTAGCTGATCCCATTCCAAGACCACTCAAACCACCAAGCCCTCCTATACCACCTAGGTTAAAAGGTGTTTGGGAGACATCTGGGGCAGTCTAAAATTAAGAGAGGAAAAATATGAAATTAAAAATAAGTTAAACTTTAAAATTGGTAATTAAAAACTCTTTACATCTAATATGAATAAAAAGGATTCTTTTATGGTTATCACTTTACAGATTCAATAAAATCGATTCATTTTATTATTATGACACACCACTTAATAAATTCCAGAAATAAACTGAAATTTGCCCATCTAACTAAGCTATAGGAATATTTTTAAAAATCAGTTTACGTTTGCTGGTGTTGATGGATTCCTGGATAAAGGTGGATCTGGCACAGTCTGGATTTAAATAGAAAGAATAACTCAATCTTTGACAATAACATCGATAGAAACATGGAGTAGCATTAAACACGTAACAAGTTAACAGGTTCAGACTTGTATTATCAATGAACTTTATAAGCTTTAATCATATTATAGGGGTCAAAGCTACTCCTAAGCTCCACAACATATGCTTTTAAAATTATTACGTATGTAAAAATGTAATTATACAATTTTCATTTTCAAAGAGGACTATCATGATTAATCACAGAACTGATTACCTCATCATTAAGCTGTGCAACCATAGTAGGAACATTATAATAAATGCATACAATTTTTTTATTTTAAAAATATACTATTAAATAAACCGTTTAAAAAATGTACAAATATATTTTATAGTAATTAATGATTTTTAATGTTCAAGAAGCCATTAAAGGGTTATACTCTAATATGAAATGGTAAACCTGATAGTGAAATGAATATTTCAGAAGTGAAAACTGCATTAGTAAACTTACTCTGTTGGCTGATTTGATAACGAGATGTACTGTTAGACCATCCTTTATACCATGTTGCTCTAGGCTATCCTCATCTTTAACTATTTTACCAGCAAAAATTATACACAGCTGCTCATATGGAGCATTGAACTTTTTTTGAACTTCCTCTTTCAGCTGAAAATAAAAATATATTTAGAAAATGTTGTTGGTGTTCACGGAATTCAGAATTACTCTTAAATTACAAGGCATAAAAAAACCAATTCAGCTCACCATATCTAAGTAGTTTGTCAAAATATTAAAAGTTTGTGTGCATATAATATACAAAATTGTGGGAGCCATACCATGACTACGACTGAGTTATATTTTTGCGCTAAAGTGGGGTTCCACAAAACCTTTCACAGATATGTCACGTAGTGCACTACCTTTATTTATGTGGCACAATCTCATTGTGACAGCATCAACAAGATAGCATAAAAATTAAGTTAAATAGGCATTTACTGTAAAAAAAAGTAATTTAATAGTTTTAGGTTGGATGATACTTTAGGTTGGTGGGTAAACTTAGGTATTTTATTTTATCCTCATATAACCTCTAAACCATCAGAGCTGCAATAACACGCCCCTCCCCCCACTTCCTCATATAATCTCAGCCCCATGTTTCATATTGTGCATGAAAAATTTGACACATGAAAATATAATAAATTAAAACTTAACCTTCATTTTTCATAGTTTCACTCTGGAAAAATTTCTTCGTTACAGGTTCCCCCCCTAACAAAAAATCAAAAATATACCAGCAGACCTTAAGGCAAAATCAATATTTCCCGACTTTCAGTCAAGGGAAAAACTTTTGCATCATTTATACTACCCTAGTTAATCCAAATATTTTTAAAAAAAATTAATTTTTTAAGTTTATTAAGTGGTTAGCAATTTATATTAAAATAATTCTATTTCATTTGATCTGTTCCATAAAATAATAAGCACTGAATGGTTACACTAGACAAGGATGATGTCAGCCAGGTCCATAATAATAATAATACAGCGATAATAAATTAATTGGTTTCTATGCCCTATTACAACAGAGGAACATTTGACTTATTAACGTGAAGAGAAAAAAAAACCAAACTCAACCAACTTTTAAAACAATGATATTCAGACCATATCAATTCTTTAATAAATGCTATATTATAAAATTGACTCTAGTCATAGATTCTAATTGTTATAAATTTAAAATATGTCAAAGAAAGTTGGCAAACTTTGGGTTAGCATTAAGTCCGCTTAAATGGTATAGTATATAGGTTATGGCGGTTCCCAGGTCAACTTCCTGCTAAAGCTCCATGTATAAAAGATTTCAATAAATTTTTCTTTTGGCTTAAAAGTGGGGGGAGGTGTCAGGGGATTATTATTTATATTTTTGTACTTTAAAATTATGTTGAAATGTACCATGAAATGGTGACATGACAAATGAATGACATTCGGTTACTTCTTTTCTTCAACCAATCAAAAGACAGCACTTTCAGCAATGTACACACATTTCTTCACCAGTGCACACGCAAGGATGGGTTTCTCATTTTTTTTAAAAACCTTGTCAGTTTAACTTTAATAGAAACAAATGGAAAATTAAATTTTAATATATTTTTATGTTAACTTTAACAATCTTCAGAATTAGCTTAGGCCACAAATTACGCTCTGTGAAGAACAGGAAATTTTTCATAGGCATCATCTAGGTCAAACCTGTGGTCTAGTCATCCAAAGTTGAGTGTTGGGACTCCCCAAAGTGGCTGAGACAAGTGATGGCAAAAACCATTCCTCTAGCCCATTCTTTATCAAGATGTTTACAAAAATGTATGTGGAGCATTGTGATGTCAATTTCTTTATCTTACGCATTACATTTTCTTTCCTTCCTATTTTTCTTTGCCAGGTGAATAAATTTTTTTTTACATAATTAATTAGGGGGGGTAGTTGAAAGTTAACAGTTTTTTATCAATATCATGGGCATGGACAGGCAGGAGGTAAAATTGTTGACTTAGACTAGGGTGACCAAATCATCATCATGTCCCTTAGTCCTTGGGCTGTTGGGGTGCCACATATGACATGTAAACTATCCTCCTCCATTCGTCTCTGTCTTCGGCACTTCGCACAGCATCGCCTAGTTTTAGTCCCGTCCACTCTTTGATGTTACCTTCCCATCTTTTTCGCTGTCTTTCTCATGACCAAATCATGAATTGGAAAAAATGGGACACACCCAAAGAGGGTTGTTTTGGGGGATACCCTCCAGCTAAAGAGGGGTCAGGTGCCTCCGCTGGAAACTGTTAATTGAAATATGCTCATTTTAACTATTTTGAGACCAAAAAAATCTTTTTAATTTACCTTTACTTTTGCAATTTGATTTAAACTTTGAGGCCTATCATGAACAAAAACAATAATTTTGCAGTGAATACTTATTTATTTATACATATTTTACAACATAATAATGCAACACAACAAATTAAATTTCTCAGTTTAGGATTTAAATTGAGGATATTTGGCTATTGTCCCAGCCATTGTTAAAGCCTTCTTCTTTTCTAATATAAAGTTGTAAAAACTAGAACAGTCCATTATGACATTATAGAGAACCTGCAGGATTGCAGAAAGGGTCTACACTCCCATCTTGTTTCTTTCGTCCGTCCATTGAATGTTCATGAGTGAAAAGATTCTTTCAGTATTACCATTATGGGCAGGGATCGCAGCGTAGGCAGAGTGGTGTAGGGGGAACAGTGCAGCCATCATGCAAGCCTACATCACTACTGGCACTGGGTATACAGCTAGCCAAAATATTACTTGAAGTTATCTTATATCTTAGGAAGTTTTCGTGATTTGAACATGTGTTTGGTTTTAGAAACTGGACATTTGGGCGTCCCGAGAGACTTTTTCGGGACACCGGGTAATCTTTAAAAAACAGGACCAACTTGTTTTTACGGGATGTTTGGTCATCCTAACTTAGACTCAATATGATTGAATATGGATGGCCCCTTGTCTTACAGCTACTCCATTCAATTCACTGCCTCTACTCTACTCTACTACTTTTTATGTCCAAAGAGTTCATTAAGCAAGCCTAGCTCTAATTCGGCCCTAGGTCTTGTCTTATCACTTTTTTGTTATTTTGATAGGCCTACTCCTACTTTAATACTACTTGTTTAACTTTAAGTTTAGCCTACTAAATCACAATCATATTCATGGTTTCCATTGTAATTACAAAATGTTATTTAACTCTTCTTTGAAGAATACAAATGTCACAATCATAATAAATTACTTATAGATGGGAAAGGAAGCGATAAATGTGAAAGATCTAGCACTTTCTACATTGATTATTTCAGGTCAAATGTCAACATCTCTGACAACACCAACACTACACAAGCGGCAGCCAAGCAAGCCCCTGTACTGCCATTTTCTATTATAACAATATTCCTTTATGACAAACAAGCATACAATATGATACCTCACGAACTGAAGCTCCTTCTTTAACTTCAACACTATGTTTTTCTTTAGGCGTCTTTACAGTTACTGTAATAACGCCAGGCTTTCCGGATTTATTAATGTTTTCCGCCATGTTTGCACTGTATTAGATAGAATGAGAGAAAAGCATTATGGGAAAGAAATCTTCTACACGGAAGTTAAAGAAATGGTTGTGCACCAAAGACGTTAAGTCATGCTCATTATATTCTAGAATTTTTGGAAACAACATTTATTAAACTAATCCACAATATTTTTCCTTCACTTATCCACTTTTGGTTTAAAAAAAAAATTGAACTACTGCCAATTATATGTTGACGAAAGAGAAATAAACGTTAAATAAGTTTTATTTTTATTATCATTCCTTCACAATTTATTTTCATGACTTAGACTTAGTGACTTAGATATGCTTAATTTATTAGTATTGTTATAACAGTAGGTCTATACAATAGATACATTAATTTAAATTACATTATCCAATATCGATGTACAGTGTTGTGTTTCTCTGTCATCCTCTGTTTTCTATAGTGACTAAAAAAAATATGTGAACAATGGTCAATGGTAACAATCTGTGTCGGATTAACAATCCTGCCCCCCCCCCAAACCCCCCACCCTCCCACCCGACCCCACACCAAAAAAAAAAAACAAAAAACAGCTAAACAATGATAATTATGTAAATATATATAATCAATGAAGTTGGAGAGGAGAAAATATGAAGACCTACTTGTATTTTTATTTGTTTTTAATAAGTGAAAAATACGAAGGAAATTAAGAGACTAAAGTAAATTTTAATATATTTCAACAATGCCAAGTAATTTAGAATTACGCTTTGCTAACATAATAGTTTTTCTTTCTTTCAGTTTTAAAATCTAACTTTTTAAGAAAACTGACAACTTGCAGAAATTTTAACAGTTCATTTATGTTGTTATCTCCCTTACTAAATTTGGTTACAGTGAATCATATCTGTGGCATTTAAAAAATATTTACATAATGGTATTTGTGGGCCATAAAATGAATGATAGGCCTACATGCTAAGAAGGATACATGTGCGAATAATACATGTAATAAATTATACTTGTCGTAATGAATGATACATGTAATGAATGATATGTTCAATGTAATCGAATGTTACAAAGTTTTTGTTTCGTTTTCGTTAACATTGCATAATACACACTTTTTTTAACAGTTTAGAAATGAATATCCTCCTGGTAGTAGATTAATGTCTTTTTAATGAGTGTTTCGGTTTTACCACGTAGCGTCCACACAATGGGGTGGTTGGGGGGGGGGGAGGTAGAGGCCTCTGGTAATATCCAAAGAGTGAATACAAATATTTCAGTGATCTATTTAATGGTTTTAATGAAATTAATTGCTTATCCGTTCCTGTTGCGCTACTGCCCATGTATGGCTTAGACTTGCCCCATCACATCCTTCCACTTAGCCCATCCATCCATCCCTGTGGCGCTCCATCCCATGTGTGGCTTAGACTTGCCCCATCACATCCTTCCACTCAGCTCATCCATCCATCCATCCCTGTGGTGCTACATCCCACGTATGGCTTAGACTTGCCCCATCACATCCTTCCACTCAGACCATCCATCCACCCCTGTGTCGCTACATCAAATGTATGGCTTAGATTTGCCCCACCACATCCTTCCACTCAGACCATCCATCCATCCCTGTGGTGCTACATCCCATGTATGGCTTAGACTTGCCCCATCACATCCTTCCACTCAGACCATCCATCCATCCCTGTGGCGCTACATCCCATGTATGGCTTAGGCTTGCCCCACTACACCCTTCTACTCGGGCCGAACTGACGCTTTTCTTTTCCATGCTTGGAATCCTAGCTGCTGTAGATCTTTTTCACCATCATCCATCCATCTAAGCCTAAGCCTGCCTTTGAGCCGTTTTCCTCTGGGGTTTTGAAGGTGTACCCTCCTCACACCTCCATCACTAGACATTCTTTCTAAAGGTCTCGCCCAGCGCAGCCTATCCTTTTTTTTTATTTCTTCTTCTAGTGTGATCGGATTTATTAGGTTACTACGCACCAAAAACACATGCGATATTTGTTTTCAGAGAATCTCATTTAACGCAGTTATCAGGAATTTTATTTGATCTTCCCTTAAAAAAACCGGAAAAACTGTTTTTTTTGGGGGGGGGGGGGTGATGCTGAAAATTTGATAGAATTTGTTTTCATCGTCCACGAGTCTATGTGCCAAGTTTCAGCTCGATAGATTGACGGGAAAAGGGTCAATTATCCGATCGAAGATTGTGCCACACACAGTAGACAGAAAAACAAACAAGCACACGAACAAAAGCAAAGTTATTGTTATGGATTACATTAAACAACCCTTAAAATCAAAGTTTTTCGTCTAAATTCATTTATAAAATGTAATATCGAGCACTGAAAATGTAACAGAACATGCATACAAGTAGCGCACTTGATCAGAATCCCAATTAATGCTCTTCCCAAAGGCTCGGAACCACACATGTTTGTCACTGCTCTGAACTATATTAATATCCTAATCACTCACTTGCTTTGAAACCGCAGATTTATTTCACCAAATATTTCAGAAAAACCGAAAGAAAATATTGCGTACCAAACGAATTTTTGATTTCAACAAAAGAATAAATAAATAATAATCTCATATAGCGCATTGATCGAGAATTTTAATTCATGAAATTAATGTCATCAGATTTCCTTCATTTTCCGGTTGAAACACGGTAAAAAACGAATTTTCGGGATTCTGGGGTGGGCTGAAATTTGATAGAATGTGTTGTCATTTGCAACGAGTCTATGTGCCAAGTTTCATCTTGACGGGAATTGGGTCAATTAGCCATCAGAGATTTTGCCAGCCACCCAGCCAGCCACGAACAAAAGTTAAAATAAAAGACTCAAAAATAGGTTAACTTCAAAAATTGTTTTAGAGAGTATAGGCGCAATTCTATAAAGTGGAGATGCACTCGTGTGAGATATTCCTTTGGACTGTGTCAGACACCCTCCATCCCCCAATATCCCCACTATTGACTGGTGATTGGCCTCTGGAGCATATCTACAGTTTCGTGATTCGAGATTACAGCTTCAAGAGTCATGCATAATTTAGAAGAGAGGAAGTGTTGAGAGCCATTGGCGGAGCCAGCAAAATGACTCCCAAGACGGCGATTATGGATCAAGTGGTTAATGTGTCGGGTCAAAGATACATTTGGAAGCCTTTAATTAAAACAGTGCTACACAGAGATTTTTGCCTTTAAATACATCAGTGCTAGACAGACAGAGATTTTTATCTTTAAATATATCCGCGTTAGACATAATATACTGGTGCAGATATCAAATCTTACTTTACAAATGAATCGCATTATTGTAATTTATTTTGTAATGTCACTGATGTCTTAAAAATAATTGACACGTCTGTGTCATCAAGCACCATAGCAACAATCATATCTGTGTCATCAAGCAGCATAGCTACAAGCAAATCTGTGTCATCAAGCACCAGAGCTACAAGCATATCTGTGTCATAAAGCATAGCTACACGCATCCCTGTGTTATCAAGCAGCGTAGCTACAGACATCTCTGTGTCAAGCACCAGAGCTTCAAACATCTCTTTGTCATCAAGCAGCATAGCTTCAACCGTCTCTTGTATGTGGGAGATTTTCTAATTTATATGAAACCTATACAGGATGTTACTTAAATTTCTTTTCTTATTGTCAGACTATTGATAGGTGCCTGGTTGTGCCAGGTGGTGCCAGGTGATGCCAGGTGGTGTCAGATTGGCCAGGTTATGCCAGGTGGCGTCAGGGCTGTCTTAACAGGGACGGGTGGGGGGACTGAGAAAATATATCTTCTAAGGCCCCCTATTCCTCTGTATATTACGGGTCATGCAACAAAAAGGGGGTGCATCTTTGGGTGTGTGGTGCCTAAATACTATTTATATAGGACCATAATAGTAAATAGAAGGATTAAATCCCATTCACTGAACAATGAAAGATGTTGCGGAAATTATCCTTCTACTAGATATTGAGGGGGCCGGATTTTCTGGCTTCGATCAGAGTGCCGCGTTTATTCCAGACGACCCAGTCTTTACATTTCTTTACAAGTAATAACAAGGGTTATTGGCTAGGTTGGTCCCTTTATGACCAGTTGTCTTTCAGACAATGTTATCAGCGGTGACGACACCCCGGCCCCGGGGGGGGGGAGTGTGTGGTAATTTAGAAGTTTAGGGGGGGGGGTGGGGCATCTGGCAGATCCAAAATTAGGCATAATGACGCACTTGGTGATCTCTGACTCCACTCCCCACCCCCCCCCCCGCACCATACCTAAAAATAAATGCAGTCTAGTAGTGACAGGACATTGGGAGTTGCTGACGATTATTGTTGTGTGTATTGATTGAACTTTGTGACCTGATGGTCCTGTGTTGGTGTCTTGTTGTCTGACAGTACACGGTGAGATGTTTTCATGAATGTTTAAACTTAAATGTGTCAATGTTGGTTGGAGAACTGGAGTGGGTGGTCATGTGATGGGGGGCATAAAAAGAACGTAGAATTAGTGAATAAATGTTAGTTGTTACACAGACCACAGACTTGAGTTGATATTTTATTTTACTATTACATAAGGCAGTGGTCAGCAAATCGCGGCTCGGGAGCTGCATGTGGCTCTTTAGAGACCTGACTTCAGCTCGGCCAGCCGGCCACAAATCGGTTTTGACACCGAAAAACATGGTTCTCGACAGGTTCTGTAAAAAAAAAAAATGCTCTCAATTTTTTTTAAATCGCCCTGCTGTAGATTTTGGGCTCTTCTTTACTAATAAGTTTGCCTACCACTGACTCAGGGTATGCTTTTTGGGCCTGGCTGGGTTACACCCCTGGAATCTTTTCAACTATATATGTAAATTTGGCTATTTTTGTCACCTGTAAGAAAGCACATCATTACTAGCACCCAGTGAGGGATGTTTCAGATAAAAAATGTGCAAGTGCTGTCCCTTTGATCAGGGAGGGATCCAAAATTGATGGCACCGAACGAAGCTGGAGTTGTGTTTTTTCTATAAAAAATGTATAAATTAAAACAACACGTTGACCTTTGACCTAGTGAGTTACGGTCTCAAATCCTTTATTTTTTGGTTACT